TTTACATTGTTTTGATATACTTAATGCTACAGTATACGAAGTTGTACTCAAGGATTTCAAAGAAAGAGACAATATGGTACCTACTTTTAGGTTAGGATTATCTGATGGTGAAACACTACTCTGCTTAAATGGTTATGTTTTGATCTGCGCTGTTTTGTTGTTATGCCCTCTTTTATCTCAATCTCCACTCCATTATTTACTTTTTTATCTTTATCCTTTTAATTAAAGGAAAAAAATAGCAGGATATATTATAGTAACCCACTTTGACTTTTCATTACCTTGATTTAAAGCCCTGTATTACTCTCACCATCTGGTTTTAAACTGATGTTCCCCTATTCTGTTTTGCTGGATAGTATCAGGTTCGAAAGTTTAGGCATCAGCTGTGAAGATAATGAGATTCATTATGACACCCATTCTTGTTGACTTTTATCTACTTTTGAAGACCTACAATGTCTCCAATGATTTGGTTTTGTCAGTTTTATTCTTTACTGTTTTGTTCAATTGTACTATAACTAACGATATAGGCAATTCTATTAGAGATAGCGGGAGGCATTATGGTAACCATTGTTGATCACCTTGTATTATGTTTTTACATTATCTATTATGTCCACCCTTTTGACTTGACCGATTCTGTTCTGTTATGTCACATTTGGTTTTACTCTCTTCCAAAAAAGCAATAAGAACCGTGGGAGCAATGTAATCCAAAATGTGTAATACTCATTGTACAAAAGAGAGGAAAAGAAAGTGCTCTAAACTATATAACTGCATGCATATTTAAGTGTATAAGATAGAAAATGATATCACAGAGTTTTATTGGATCATTGAACAGAACTGTTTGCAGTATCATTGTTGGAATGTCCACTCTACAAGCTTTAATTTTGTGACTTGAACAATTATTTCTAAGATGGCAATATGTAATCCATTAACTAGTGATTTCCTACTGTTCTTTTTTTTCTGTAAATCTGTATAACTTGTACCCTTTCACTGTTTTTTTCTTTTCTCCTTAAATAAAATTAAAAAAAAAAAAAAAGAAACAACACAGGAACCATGGTAGAACTCGTTGTACAATGGTCTTATATGGTTTTTTTCATTTCATGCATTTATAGGAATATGTTTTTTTGTCTTGCTTTGTTTTGTTTCTCCCTCTAATATAGAGAGGACAGAAATACATGTTAAGACTCATGCATGTGTGGAATCTATAAACAGTTTATGAGAACTGACCTTATGAAATGAACAGATACTTTGAAGAAAAAGAGACACTAAATACTCAGTGCTATCCTGGAGTGTCATAATGTGAAACTCAGCAATAGTATTATTTTTTTGCTCAGAGTGATATTAGCCTGCTTGGGTTTGTTCAATGTTAATATAATTAAAGATATGGAAAACTTCATGTATGTTTAAGTGTATAGGATTGATAACCATATTTCTAAGTTTTGTTGGATAGTTGGACAGAACTGGTTGCAGTCTCACTGTTTGAATCCCTACTTTATATGCTCCACTTTAGTATCTTGAATAAACTATTTGTAAGAGGACAATCTGTAATAATCAACTAGTGATTTCTTACTGTTTATTTTTTTCTTTGAAATTTGTATTATTTCTACTCGTTTTCTGTTTTGTTTTGTCTTTCTTTAAATTAAATTTAAAAAAAAAGACACTACAGTACCCAGTGCTGATCCCAGAGTGTCATGATGTGAAATCCAGCAATACTATTATTCTTTGTTCAAAATGATTTTAACCTGCTTTAGTTTGTTTAATCTAAACATAAACGAAGATATAGATAACTGCATGCATGTTTAAGTGTATAAGACTGACAACCATGTTACTAAGTTTTTGTTGGACAGTTGAATAGAACTGTTTGCAGTCTCACTGTTTGTATTCACACTTTACATGTTCCATTTTTGTATCTTGAACAACTATTTGTAAAACGACAATATGTAAACATAAACTAGTGATTTCTGTTTATTTTTTTCTCTGAACGTATGTATTATTCTACCTATTTTCTGTTTTGTTTAGTCTTTCTTTAAATAAAATTTAAAAAATAAAAATAATAAAAATAAATACAACATATTCAATTAACAGACTATCTGTGAGGTTTTGACAGAAAGAGCACAAAATTGAGGCCAGCCTGGGTGATTTAGCCACTCAATGAGACCTGTTTCAATTTTAAAAAAACAACTGGGTCAGCCCCCAAAGCATGGTGACACACACCAGTAATCCCAGTACATAGGAGGCTATGGCAGGAGGATTGTCACAAGTTTGAGATCAGCCTGGGTTACATACTGAATTCAGGGCCACACTCCACTCCAAAGCAAAACCCTGTCCCAAAAAGAAAAAAAAAAGATCTGGGGATTTAGCTTAGTGCAAAGGCCCTGGGTTCAATCCCCAGCATCACAAAATAAAGAAAAAAAGATTTTATTTCACTGATTGTATTTGTGTGTATAATTATACAAAGTGAATTCACTGATGAAGATCAGGATGGGAGTTTGGGGTTATTTTAAAGTACTAAATCTGTTTGTGAAATAGCATAATTTCATGAGTGTGAAATGTCATGTTGAGTATTATGACACATTTGAAGGATATACCACACTCTGTAGCTTCCCAGGACTTCTGTGATAATTTCAGACATCAAAATTTTTTTGAACTAATGAAAGATTTCCTACAAGTACTCCTAGAAGGCTTCTCGGCAGTCTGACTTCTTACACACCCTCTATGACACGGAAACTTAATGTGCATTCTGACTTTCCTTGTTTAGTTTTTGTAGTTTTGAGGAATGGCCCAGAGTCTTTACACTGAGCTACATTCTTAGTTTTTTCTTTCTTTTCTTTTCTTTCTTTTTTTTTAAAATGTAGCCCTCTTTTTTAATTTTGAAGCTAGTTAAATACAATAGAACAAATCCAATCAAGGCAATTCAGTGAAACTGGCCCAGAACTTCACAGCAGGTTATTGGGATAACAGTAATAGATGCCATAGTATATCTCGTTATCTTCACGATAGCTGTCCATTCAATCAGGTATAGCAAAATCACAGCAAATACAGAACACTACAAAACCTATCAAAACAGAACACTGAATAGAGCAAGACAATTAATCAGTACAAAGCAAAACAGTGAAAACAATATTTGCCTTCAAAGAGAAGATAGAAAGAAATCCCCCACATTTGCTATATTGCATGTGGTCATCCTCCCAAGAGATGCTCAGATCTCTGGCTGCTAGGTGCTAATGGCGGGTCGGGGGTGTTTGATTCTCAGCCCCCGCATTGGTAGGCTTATGGGAGACGCTGACTGGTGCAGGACTGCTTACCAGGAAGGTGGGCAGGTTGCTTTCTTGCTCAGCTCCGTAAGTTCCAACGTGGCTGGATCTCAGGAGATGCTGACTGGTTCTCTCTGTGTAGCCCTCTTAATCTATTTTTTTTTTGGTGGTCTTGCAGTACCACCAAGTTGCCAGACTGCTGGACTTGAAGCTGAAATCTGCCTGCCCTCAGCCTGCTATAGTGCTGGGTTTAAGGCATGTGCCACCATGCCCATCTCTTTATTTTCATATAATCTATCACTAGGTGGCTTGGGTGTAAATATTCAGATGCATTGAATACTTAAAGATCCTTTATTACTTCCTTCCAATTCAAAGACTTTCTCTCCTATGTGATTTCTTCCCTGCTAAGAAATACTTGAGAACTCAATGTGCTTCTCCCACTCATCACTTCTCTTTTGTGTGGCTTTGCATGTGATATTTTTTTCTGCAATGGTGTCTCACAATGTTGTTCAGGCTAGACTCAAACTCTAGCTCTTCCTATTTCAACCTTTGGAGTAGCTAGAATGGTACACACCACCACTCCTGATCTTGCACACAAATACTAAGGTTTTGGAGCATCTAAAGGTTTTCCTGTATTACTTCCTGTAGTCATTTTCTATAGCTGATAAAATACCACACTAGGTAGCTGAAACAACAAATTTATTTCTTCATGGCTATGGAAGCTGGAAGCAAAAGATCAGTTTGCTTAGTTGGTTTCCTCTGGAAGCCTTTTGTTTTTTTTTTTTTTTTTTTTGGTTGATCTTTTAGCACTGGGAATTGAATTTTTAGGGACTTTGCATTGAGCTATATCTCACTCAATTGCTAAATTGCCCAGGTTAGGCTCAAACTTACAATCCTCTTGTCTCAGTCTCCCAGAATGCTAGTATTACATGCATGCACCATCCCATCCAGCCAGAAGGCCTTAGTAGAAGTCTATTCTAGCCATCCATCTCTTTTTGCAGACAGCCATCTCAGAAATTCACATGATCTTCTGTATACCTGCCTGAGGGGTCAGCACTAACTCATCTTACTTTTGGTGGGGAGGATGTGGTCTTGCTATGTTTTCCATAGTAGCCTTGCACTCACGATTCTCATGTTTCTGCCTACGAGGTAACTGGGCCCATAGGTATAGATGTACACCACTGCGCCTGGCTGCTAAATATGTTTGTTTTTATTTTATTAATTTTAAATAGAATAAAACCAAACAAAATAAAAAAGAATAAAGCTAATCATAACATAACAAGGAAAGCAATACAGAACTTCAAAACAAGATAATAGGAAATCAACAATGGCTACCCTAATGTCTCTTGTTTTCTTGAAAGTAGCTGTCCATACCATCAGACATAATAAAAATCAAACAAAACAAAATAGAACAAACCAATCAAAAGAATGAAAGTATATTTTAAAGAGAATAAAATCAAACAAAATAAAACAGAATAAAGCCAGTCAAAACAAAACAATGAAAATGAGACAGGACTTCCAAACAGGATAATCCTAATAATAGGAAACCAAGAATGGCTCTCATAACGCCTCTTATTATCTTCAAACTTGCTGCCAAACTATCAGACATAATAAAATCAAACAAAACAGGACCAGAATAAAACCACTCAAAACAGAACATTGAATCAAACAAAACAGTAAAATGGAACAAAACAAAATAGAGAACAATATTTGATTTCAAAAACAAGACAGAAGGAAATTCCTTATACTTACACATTGCATGTTACTATCCTCTTAATAGATGTTCAGACTACCAGCCTCATGTCTGCAAAGTCAATCAAACAACATTAAGTTGTTTTTGTACTCAGTTGCTATCAGAGTCTGTGTTCCTCTGAATCAGCTGGTTGCTTATGGTGGGAGGGTGGCCAGAGGTCGGTGTTCTGGTCTCCCAGCCTGCATGCCTGTTGGTTCACCGGAATGGCAAATTGGCTTGTTTCTTCTCCTGGGCACCCCATGGCCTGTACCAGCCATGGGAAGGGCAAACTGGCCTCTTTTACTCCCTACTACATAAGTTTGATGTAACTTCTGTTCAGTGTGGGTCCATTCACTTCTTCAGGGTAAAGTGGAGTAAGTGAGGGCTTTCTCGTATCCCTTACCACGTATAAGGGTTCTTGCCCTGAGTCCTTTCGTGTCTTCAAAGTGAACAAGGATGACTCTAGGCCTTCCCACTGACATTTATAGGGTTTCTCTTCAATGGGAGTTCTTTCATGAATTCTAAAAGAGCTGGAACATATAAAATTTTTCCACACTTCTTACATGTAAAGGGCTTCTCTCCAGTGTGAGTTCTTTCGTGTATATGAGATGAGCTGGAATGACTGAAGGCTTCCCCATACTGTTTACACTCACAGTGTGGATTCACATGTGAATTCTAAGGGGTGGCATTAAAAACCTTCCCACATTCCTTAAATGTGTAGGATTCTTGGGTATGGTGAATTTGATGTGATTTTTAAGATCTGAGGGATGACCATATACTTTCCCACATATCTTACACTCACAAGCCTTCTCCTCAGTGTGAGTTCTTAAATGTCTACTAAGAGTTGAAGAAATAGCAAAGGCTTTCCCACAATTGGCACATGCACAAGCTTCTCTCCTGTGTGAGTTCTTATATGTTGAATAAGACACGAGGTTGTAAGGAAGGTTTTCCCGCACTCCTTCCATTCACAGGGCTTGTCTGCACTGTGAGATGGCAGATGAATACTAAGCCTGAGTGCCGAGTGAAGGCTTTCCCACATAGCTTACACATGTACGGTTTCTGTCCAGTGTGAGTTCTTCCATGTATTTGAAATGAATTAGAATAATTGAAGGCTTTTCCATATTCCTTACATTCGTAGGGTTTCTCTCCAGTGTGAGTTCAGGTGGATATTTAGATATGCATTTCCTACATTCCTTCCATTTATAAGGGTTTTTTGCACTGAGTGTTTCTATAAAGCACAGGAAAACTTGCAGAGTTTATAAAACTTCTCCCATATTCCTTCGATTCATAAAGTTTATCTCCACCATGAATTCCTAATGTACTTGAAGCTATGACTCATTAACAAAGGATTTCCCACAGTCTCTGCAGTCAAAGGAGTTCTCCTGTGTGCTAGTTTTCTGGTAAACAGCGTTTGGTGACATGCAGATTTCTCCACTCTGATTAAAAGTAGAAATTTCTCTCCAGTAGAGGTTTCCTGTTGAACAGTCAGGAAATCTTTTCCATGCTGATAACGTCGTAACTGTTTCCTACACTTTGAGTTTCTGTGTGTGTCTTAAGGAACGTGTAGTCACTGAAGAATTCCTCATATGGCTTCCAGTCACAGCGTTCTCTCTGACAGTTTCCTGCCTGTTGGTAAAGAGGGATGAATGATGAATAAAGGATTTTCTGAGACAAATTAATAGATACCGCCCCTCTGATGGTGGAAACTGGTGATGATGGTGATGATTGCCATTGCAATTACATGCATACAGTTCCTGTTCTCCCAGTGTATTTCATGTGGTATAATCAAACCTTGACTCCAAAATGCTGTGCCAACAATTCTAATCTTGAAAAGATTCCTGTAGAGTTTCAAGAAACAGTTTTTAAGACAAGGTATTTGACAAGGTATTTAACAAGGCATTAGACAAGGTATTAGACAAGATATTTAACCTCCAAGGCTCAATGTAAAATGAGTGTGAAAAATGAACCTCTCTCAAAGTTTTATTTTTTTTTAAAGCTAAAAGTGAAAATGTGCACTGGTGGGAACGCTGAAACACCACCTTTCACAAAGGCTTGGGGACTGCCAAACTTACAACATCCAGAAAAATCTCTTCAGAGATAGTATTCCCTTTGTGTGTACTGCTCTCAAATATCTCTTTATTTTTGATGAAATAATGTGGTGTAATTCTTGATTTTCTTTGAGGAAGATAAGAAACACCTCTTCTTATTCTTGTCATCTGTATCCCATTGGATATGTGACCCCTCAAGAATTCTTGCTGCAGTCCTGAGAATTTCATTTTAAGTTCCATTTCCCATTCTGAAACAAAACATAAAAACAAATGGAAGAGGCTGGAGGCAGAAATGAAAAACTAAAAGAATTTTAAAGGATAAGGTTCACCTGTATTTGCTGGAAAAAGCAGAAAAATATTTGAGGTTTGGGACTTGGCTGAAAATTTGGCAAAGGAAAGGACATTGGTGGGAATTTTAATATCAAACACTGACTCAATAAAATTGATAGTGGGCAGAAAGAAAACACCAGGGAAGGAAAAGAGAAAATTTCTAGAAAAAGAGTATACATCAAAGCAACAAACTAAGCCAAAGTTAGCACCCTATATAATCCTAGCACTCTGGAGGCTGAGACAGGAGCGTTGCTCAGAGTTCAAGGCCAGCCTTGGGATATACTGTGAATTTAAGACCCTCTTGAACTACACAGCAAGACCCTGTCTCAAATGGCACAATGCCTGCCTAACAAGGTCCTTTCAATCCCTGGCACCAAAAAAAGGAAACAGAATAGAACAGAAAAGTGATAAACTGAAAGGTTTTGAGTTTAAGTAAAGGAATAGTGAAACTGAAGATCTCCTACCTTTTGAGAAAAATGGACTCAACCTTATGACAAAGTATATCTTCTGAAGTCTCCCCACTTTAGTTGTAACCATGTTAAGTTTCTCATTAACTAAGTTTTTTTTTCATGAACACTCACCATGGAGAATTCTTCTCTGACCTCCCTTAACTTTTCTCCTTGTTCCAACCAAGAGATCAGACTGGGCTTGATGACCAGACATCCTGTTTAGAGAGAGGCAGATTGGTAGAAAAGCTTCTATGACAGATAAGAAAACTTCAAATATTGTCTCCGTCTGAGCCTTAAATGTTTGCTTACTTCTATCTTTTAAAATCCAAATTTGGTCTTGTACATACAGTTCCTAAGCACTGAAGCTTTACTTTTATTCAAATAGGAAATAAAGGAAACACAGCAGAGACCATTGTTTCCCTGGGGAAACAACTCTACCAGTAGGTCTCAAATACTGTGTATCAGACTCATTGAAAAAACCTATTGTCACACAGGGATGCAGCTTCATACCGATCCTTTCTCCTCTCCCTTGACCTCCTCCTTCCCTTTGTGACACTTGAGACTGAACCCAGGGAGCCCTGAGCTACATCTCCAGTCTTTTTTATTTTATTTACTAAATTGCTCAGGCTAAGCTCCAATTTGCAATCCTTCTGCCTCTGCCTCCCGAGTAGCTGGCATTACAAGCATATGCCCCCCTCATATCCAAGTTTCTGATTTGGCAAATTGGAGGCGGAGAAGGGAGACACCCATCCAACAGACTGACAGCATAATTACTGATCATGCACATTTGGAGAACCACCACAGTAAATTAAAATCTACTTAGGTTGGAACTATGTCTCTTAAATCACCAATATCAACTTAGTAGAATGACTGTAATCCTGCCTCCTGCGGCCAGGTTCTGCTGGTTTTCTAGCATCACATCACTGTACAGCTGTCTCTGGGTGGGGTCCATAAAGCCCACTCTCCTGGGTGAAGTCCACAGCCGCATCTTCGAAGCTCACTGACTCCTGTATCATCACACAGGCTGGTGTGAGCCAAGGAACCTATGCACCCTTGTTCACAGGAGAACGAGGAAGTGAGACCAAGGACTACCCCTGGTTCCAAGGTCTCCAGTGACCTACACGGGAATTTAGTGATTCTAGAAAGTCCTCTCTTCAAACTCAAGGACTCCAAATCGCAAGTCACAAGTCAAGACCAATTAGTAATTCCCAAAATACCCCGATAATTTTCAAGTTACTATCTCACATGGAAAGTTCCATTCCCTAAAGAAATTTAAGTGGAAATTCAATCCTTGAGTGAGGCTCCATTTCCTTTAAAAGGCTCTGGAAACAATTTTTTTTTTTTTTTTTGGTGTGTGTCTGGTTGTTAGGGAAATATGTCTACCTGGGAGATGTAAGTATGCTGTTTTGGAGAAAGATGTATTTTCTTTTTACCTGAAAAAAAATTTGTCAGGCAGTCAGCTACCACCCTTTCTGCTGCTGCCTTTTCTTCCCAAAGGCAGATGGGGCCCTTAGAAAGAAGACCTCAAGGAAAAGAAAGAAGACACAAGAACTCAGACTTGACCACAATTCCCATGTTCACATATATAGAAGTCATTTCATTCTAATAGAAAAATCCCACATAATCCAACACAATGAACACTCAAACATACACACACACACATACAATGCCGATCACTAGAGTATCCTGTCTCAACAAGAGCCAGAAAACTAGATGGTGAGCCGAGCAGCTTACCTGGGTAAGTATTAACAGTCTTGTTTTACAGATAAACTTGTGCCCTGAGAAATGTGACTTACAATGATATGACTCATGAAGGAGACTGTGCAGCCTGTCTTCCCAAGACAAGGAGAACAGAAGATTTATAGATAGTCTTCTCTGCTCCGCTTCACTGTCTCCTACATGAACCAGTAATGTGTATTCAGGCCACAACAACTGGAATCCACAGTTCTGTTTGGGGAACCTAGTGCAGTATGACTGCTAATCCTGATATGTCAGCTTCACTGGATTAAGAAAGGCCTAGCAGGTTAGAAAGCATATTTCTGGGTGTGTCTGGGTAGGTCGTGGAGGCATGCGCTTAGATCCTCTATATATCCCCGCCCATTCCTCTTTGACACTTCTTTCTCCTTCCCTGCCACCCATGCCAAGCAAGAACTAACCAGCTTTGTTGCACCAGGCCCTTTACCATGATGTGTCTGCTGGAAGCTGTTGACCACAGACTAAATCTCCTGCAACTCTGGGCTGAAGGAAGCCTTTCCTACTTTAACCAGTGGGTGTCAGCTACTGTCTCAGCCACAAGAAAATCGGTTAATACAGAAAACTGGTACCGCATGGTTTGTGGCTGTCACTGTACTTGGTCATGTGGTTTGTGCCCTGAGATAGACCTTGGGAACTGGCTTTTGGGAAGTTTGGAAAAGTTTGGAGATGCAAGCTAGAGAAACCCTAGAGCCCAGGGAACAGAACTGTGCAGGGTGACTGTGGTCAGAGCTCAGAAGACCAGATGCTCATAGGGATGGGGAGTAAAGCCCAGATTCAGAAGGTTTCAGACAGGAACAAAGAATTTGCTGATTCGGGCTACAGGACACGTGTATTACATGCTGTGTGCATTTTGCTCACATCCTGACACTTTGCAAGACACTGAAACTAAGTGGTTGTCTAATGAATCTGGTGGGAGGAGTTTCAATGCAGCCTAACATTCTGAGTGTGACAAGAATATTGTTGGCTGCTCTTGGCCATATTTATAATGAAAATCAGGGGCAAAAGGTAGAGTAGAAAAACTTGGAAAATTTTGGCCCAGAAGGAACCATGTATGAAGTGGAACCAACAGAGGTCTGACTGCTAAAAAGATTAGTAGTATTAAGAAGAAATTAGCAGGAACCAACTAGCCTGCTTTTCTGGTAAGGCATGCAAACCATGCGGGGGCCAGAAAGAGAAAAATCAATGCCTTCTGTGAGCCTACTGGAGCGTGGGCTGAGAATCAATCCCGAACCCTCCCACGCCCCGGCCCCTCATCCCCATAAGCAACAGGCTGCTTCGGAGGACAGACTGTTGATAGAAACTGAGATTTAAAAAAAGCAACTGAATGCTTGTATTGTTTGATTGATTTTGCAGGACTGGGGCCAGCAGTCTGAGCATCTATTGGGAGGATGACAGCATGCAATATAGCAAAAATGGGGGATTCCCTTCTGTTTTGAAGTCCAATATTATTCTCACTGTTTTGTCTTGTTCTGATTAATTATTTTGCTTTATTCAGTGTTCTGTTTTGATTGGTTTTATTTTGTTTTGTTTTGATTTTGCTATATCTCATGGAATGCACAACTACTGTATAGATAGCAAGATATATTATGGTAGCTATTGTTGTTTTCCTAGTATCTTGATTTGAAATTCTGTACCTATTTCACTGCTTTGTTTCAACTGGCTTTGTTGTTTTGTTTTGTTGGATTTTATTATCTTTAAAATTAAAAAAAAATCACCAAAATGGGAGAAAAAACAAATTATGTACTTTGTGCAGCGACAAGAAATATGTCTTGAGGGCATCTCAGGAATTAGCAAGACTCTATCCACTGCATACTCAAGAGTGCAAAAGTGGCAACCTTTTATTCGAAGAAAGTGTCTCTAGAGGCCTTGCTCAAGAAATACCTTGAGGTTGTCAAAACCCTCTTTATTCCCATCCTAGGGCCACACAGACAAGGAACCATGACTATGTCATGTCATGATCCACAAAGCAGGAGTATAAATATAGGGACCTGGTAGTCACCAAGATGAAGAGTTATCCATACTGACCAGCCTGGATTGACAAGATGCCCAACAGTTAACAATATGAAGTCCTCTTAGGGAACCACTAGATGGCATTCCTGGGACCCAAAGACTTGTTGCCTCACAAGGAATCAAAGAAAAGTCTGACAACCCAAAGAAAAGGAAAGGCTCAGCAAGATCAAGAAACACCCTGTTATTAAGGCTCCTGGCTACTAGTGCTCCCAGAAAAAGATGCATGGAAGAGCTCAAGCCAGGGCCCAAACCCATAAAAGGTAATGGTGGTTAAGAAGGGGGAGGCAAAGATATTAGAAATAGAAGGTAGCACGTTTTTTAAAAGATTATACATCATGATCATTCAGGTTTCATTCCAGAAATGCACAGACTGTTCAACATAACTAAGCCAGTAGCCAGTAGCCAGTAGCCAGTAGCCATAGCCAGTAGTGTTTCAGGAGGAGGCCCTGCTCCATTCTTATGTTGTCTGGGTGCTGCTGGGGAAACTACCCATGGGCTGCAAACTGGTATCCTTGTTCCCTCACAACCTGGTCTCCTTCCCCACTCATTTCTCTCACAATAATCCCTGCCCCTGGAGAGTGATCTAGCCTCTACCTGAAGGACCGTACACCCCATGACCTGTGTCAGGGCCATGTCCTCAACTCCCTGGGATGAGATGAGGCTACTGTGATGCCCCTCTGCCATGTTGCCCTTCCTTGGAGCCAGCTAATTATGGCCTGAAACCTCTACAAACTTTGAACTAAAATAAATCTTTCCTTCTTTAATGTGTGGTTGTTGGGTCTTTTACCCAGCATTGTAACTCAGACAGATACCCTTATCTCCCTCCCCTGGGTGTTTTGAAATCTAGGGTGGGACTGCATAAGTCTAGATGAGATGAAGCACAAACAGCAGGTTGGAATCCAGCTGGGCTTTTCCCCCTAGCCCTACATCTATTTTCCCAGCTTCCTAGATTCAGGGAAAGTGTATGTGTGGGTTCCTTTCCATAAATCCTTGATATTGACAACACCTATTCTTTTGTGGACCCTAGGGCTTCTGGGAGTTGTAGTTTATCATCAAAAGACTTTGAGGCTTTCACATTGTTTGAGTCAAGGGCCAGAGATCTGAATGGTTGGCTTCACCCAGGTGAATAAAGGACTGCCAGGAAGATGGCAGAGTGGTAAGCAGCAGAGAAAACAGCCTGTCTGAGAGTCCCCATCCAGATGCTGTGGTGAGAAAGACAAGGAAGGAAGGAAGTGGGTCCCCTGGACCCAGGAAGGATCTGAAGTGCAACCTGACCCATAGAGAGTGGAAAAAGAAAAACTTCAGGGAAGAAGAAGGTAGCAGCCAGTGGTGCCTTTGCCTGAGATGGGACTCACTACAGGAGAGGAGCTGTTTGAATCGGGGGACACCTATCACAGTGACAGTGATGGTGACGGCTGGTGACCCTGGAGGCCTCTGCAGAGAGACATGGCAGTGGAGAGGAGTGACAGGTGTGGAGCACTGCACTGGCTGGTGGTGAGTGCAGAAGACTTAGTCCCTCTGCAGGTAGAGAGTGATTAGCTGGGAGCCAGTTTAGAGATGGGCCGGCTAGCTTGGAGCTCAGCACTGCTGTAGGCTGCATCTAGCAGCTCCCAATTGGGTGCAGACTCATGGAAACTGCTTGGACTGTGTTGTACTAAAATGTTAAAAAGTTAAAATAGTTAGTTAAAAAGATAGTTATTAGCAAAAATAGTTAGTTAAAAGGATAGTTATTAGCAGTATTGTCATTCTGTGCTGTGCCCATTACCCTAGTAACCACGCACCAACCATATAGTTATAGATTAACTGACCGCATCATCATGCTGTTCTGTATGCATCATCCCCTGAGTAACCTGTTTGCTGTGTCAATCTTTGTTCCCTTTATGAGAGACAAATGTTCCTGGAATTGGCAGACCAAGGGCTATGAATTGGCTAACTACCCACTGTGAAATGCCTCTGACCTCAAGCAAAGGGGAGCAAAGGCCCACCTTGTGTATGTTTCTCATCACTATGTACTTAATGATCAATGAGCTAATCATAAATGAACAATAAAAATCAGTCAAAATTCTAACCCAGTCACACAGCTTTGCAAATTCCATCTGCACTGTGTTGCTGGTGCCAGCTTAAATAAAAGTGCTTCTTTAAAAAAAAAAAAAGATGTCATCTTGCCCCGTTTTTCATCTGAGGGACTTTTGGGGGGTACAACAGACTGTGGCAAGCCCAATGAGTTTGGTATCAGGGCAGGCCTGCTGAGGTTTTCCACTACTCTACCATAAAGCAACTGCTGGCTTGCTGGGATACAGTGGCATGATTCAGAACTCTGTCTCCACAGGCTGTCTGCTAGTGAACCCAGAGAGAATCCTGAAGTGGACTGTCTGTTTTTCTTTTTCTTTTTCTCTTTCTCTTTCTCTTTCATTGTTTTTATATGAGTGTGAAATTGGTTTCTAACCTCTTTGTGAGTGTGGTTCTGTCCTGTTCTTCCTGTTATCTCTTCTATCTTATTTCCTTCAGTCTTTTGCACCAGTTTTCTCACGTTGGCATGATTCCCCCTTCATCCTCTGACCTTACTTCTAATCTCTTTCTCCTCTTCTACTTCTCTATTTTCTCAATCCATTTTAAATTTGAACCCTTGAGGGCAAAATTGACATATTAAGGACTTATATATTGCACATAATTATCTGGTTTGTTTTATATCTTGTTATATAATTACATTCTAGTTCATACAGTTAAAAGTGGCAAATTAAGGGTTAGCTCAGTTTTT